AAGATTGCAAAGATGTTAAACATACCAAGAGACACCTTAGGAAGCATCATTCGCAAATTCAAGGCAAAGGGCACTGTTGAAAACGCTACCTGGTCGTGGCAGAAAGAAGATGCTGACTTCGACTGCTGTGCGCTACCTGAAGCGTAGAGTGGAGAGAAGTCCCCGTGTGACTGCTGAGGAACTGAGAAAAGATTTGTCAGATGTGGGTACAGAAGTTTCAGCCCAGACAATAAGACGCACACTGCGTAATGAAGGCCTCCGTGCCAGAACTCCCAGGCGTACCCCCTTGCTGTCTCCAAAGAATAAGAAGAGTCGACTGCAGTATGCCAAAAGCCATGTGGACAAACCACAAAAGTTGTGGGATAGTGTTCTGTGGACTGATGAAACAAAATTAGAACTGTTTGGGCCCATGGATCAACGCTATGTTTGGAGGAGGAAGAACAAGGCCTATGATGAAAAGAACACCTTGCCTACTGTGAAGCATGGTGGAGGGTCAATCATGCTTTGGGGCTGTTTTTGCTTCTGCAGGTACAGGGAAGCTTCAGCGTGTGCAAGGTACCATGAATTCTCTTCAGTACCAGGAGATATTGGATGGAAACGTGATGCAGTCCGTCACACACCTGAGGCTTGGGAGACGTTGGACCTTTCAACAGGACAATGATCCCAAGCATACCTCCAAGTCCACTAGAGCATGGTTGCAGAGGAAAGGCTGGAACATTTTGGAGTGGCCATCGCAGTCACCAGACTTAAATCCGATTGAGAACCTCTGGTGGGACTTAAAGAAAGCAGTTGCAGTGCGCAAGCCTAAGAATGTGACTGAACTGGAGGCCTTTGCCCATGAAGAATGGGCGAAGATACCCGTAGATCGCTGCAAGACACTTGTGTCAAGCTATGCTTCACGTTTAAAAGCTGTTATAACTGTAAAAGGATGCTGTACTAAGTACTAAGATTGAATGTCACTTGGGGGTTGAATAAAACTGATAATGCTGTGAGCACAGAAAAGACATTTGTGGTTATTTCATTATAACTGTTATGTTTTATTTTGTCTGACCTACAAGTGCCTCTTTAATGTAAATGTAAGCAAGATGACTGAATGATCAAAAGCAATGTCAAACTGGCCAAAACACTCAATTTCAGTGGGGGTTGAATAATTTTGGACACAACTGTATGTGTTACTTGTAGACATTGTGGAAAAATCCAGTAGCAGCAGCAGCACTGAAAGGAAAAGGGGATATAATGGCCACAGAGAGGAGTCTTGAGACTCTCAAGTCATTCTCTGAAGAATTTTGACTGGTAGACTGTAAGTAGTAGCTCTGCACACAATGCAAAAAGCAAGCTGCCTCCAAAGGTACATGAGGGGGCATGTACCTAGGAACATATCCAATCACATGTGCCTAGGAGGTATAGGAATCAGATTTCCTCCTGAATGCAGCATTGGCATCGAAAATGTGAAAAGGAGACTAAGAATCCATGGACTGTGGCTTAAAAATCGCTGTTTCTACGGGAATTTAGTGTTTTGCCTGTAGAAACAGCTCAATGTTATCCTATGTGTCCATGCACATTAGGATGATTAGAGGCATATTTTAAGCTCAGCGTTTAGAGGCAGGAAAGAAAACCCTTCTGGTTTGTGTTTTTGATTAGAGTTTTTTATCAGAAAAAATGCTAAACTCTCCTAAACGCGCCTAAACATTGTACAAAACGCTCTCTGTGAGTGTTTTTTTTTTTCTGCCAAGCGAATTGCCATTTTTTTAAACCTAGTGTGCATGGATCCTGAAAGTTCAGAATGAAGAGTCTGTTGTGCAATTTGTTTGTTTTCAGGTGAATGTTCTTGCACATCCACTGTATAATAGTCAGCGCCCAGGACAAGGTCATCTAGTGCCCAGGGCAAAGATGGCAAACTATTCCCCACCCCCCCCCCAGGTGAAGGAGGGGATGGGGCTAATAGAGGCATTTGCTGAAATAGTGCCAATCATGGCTGGATCTAGGGGGGTGTTGGGGTGGGCTATGCCCCCCCAGATTTTAGTTGTGCCCCCCAAAGCCTACCCTAACTTGCCACTATACTGCCCTAACCTGCCACTATGCTGCCCTAATTAGATACTTTACCACCCTAGTTTGAAACTATACTGCCCTAGCCTGACACTATACCATCCATGACAGATATTATACTGATCTCAGGTATGTATTGTGTGGGGAGGAGGAGCTCCGCTGCCTGTGCCCACGATGTGTACAGTGCAGAGATGGAAAAAGGAGCTGTGCCCATGTCCTCTGCCCTGCCAGCAGTGACCCCTCTCCTCTTTCCCGCCAGCAGTGACCCCTTTCCTCTTCCCCTCCAGCAGTGACCCCTGTCCTCTTCCCCACCAGCAGTGATCCCTGTCCTCTGCCACGCCAGCAGTGACCCCTGTCCTCTGCCCCACCAGCAGTGAACCCTGTCCTCTTCCCACCAGCAGTGACCCCTGTCCTCTTCCCCACCAGCAGTGATCCCTGTCCTCTGCCTTGCCAGCAGTGACCCCTGTTCTCTGCCCCGCCAGCAGTGACCCCTGTCCTCTGCATCGTCCAGCAGTGACCTGTGACCTCTATCCAGCTGATATTTTTTACTGCACCCCCACATCAGACAGGCTAAATCAGGTCCTGGTGCCAATAGCTGTGGTTCAGCAAACAAAAGAGTTTAATATTGGTGCATAAACATGGGTCTAAGAATGGCAAAGGAAAAAAATGTTGAAGCATACGTGGTTTCACTGAAAAGAAAAAATGTCTCAGCATTACTGGTGTCAATAAAAGAAAAAAATGTTTTACTGGAAGGAAAAAAAGACCCTGTGCTGGTGGTGTCACTGGAGGTAAAAAAATGCCCCTGCACTGGTGGTGTCACTGGAAGGAAAAAAATGTCTCTCTCTTAGTGATGTCAGTCTGAGGTGGACTGCTTTGGCATCTATGTCGGCAGAATGAAGGGATGATGGGAGCTAGACTCTGTGGGGTGCATGTAACTAAAGTAATCTGGCGGCTCTAAGGGACAGATGAAGCTAAGGAGCTCTTTGGAGGTTTTGAGGAGGAGGTCCAGGGCTAGGGCTGAGTTGTCCACTTATCCTTATGGAGCACACCAGAAATGTAGACAGCTCCTCCTTCTTACTGTCTCTGGTTATGTGATATGTCACATTATGGGGGAGCATGCTGAGACAGAGGTGTATTCTTGCCAGACACCAGCTCTCCTCTGCACACAGAAGGCTGCTATAAAAGAAGAGAGCAGAATCCTCCCTTCAGCAGCTATCAAGACCCCTACTCCTTCTCACAGGAGTGTAAATTCTGAGTCTGCTGGTATCACATCCAAGGTAGTGACGCCTAGCAGAAGTCTCAGTCTTTTGGATGTCTACACAAGGGTAGGTAAATAGGTTAATAACATACTTAAAATACACTATATTGCCAAAAGCATTGGGACGCCTGCCTTTACACGCACATGAACTTTAATGACATCCCAGTCTTAGTCCATAGGGTTCAATATTAAGTTGGTCCACCCTTTGCAGCTATAACAGCTTCAACACTTCTGGGAACGCTGTCCACAAGGTTTAGGAGTGTGTCTATGGAAATGTTTGACCATTCTTCCAGAAGCGCATTTCTGAGGTCAGGCACTGATGTCGGACGAGAAGGCCTGGCTCGCAGTCTCCGCTCTAATTCATCCCAAAGGTATTCTATCGAGTTGAGGTCACTTCCTCCATCCAAAACTCGCTCAACCATGTCTTTATGGACCATGCTTTGCGCACTAGTGCGCAGTCATGTTGGAACAGGAAGGGGCCATCTCAAAACTGTTCCCACAAAGTTGGGAGCATGAAGTTGTCAAAAAAGTCTTAGTATGTTGACGACTGAAGAGTTCCCTTCACTGGAACTAAGGGGACAAGCCCAACCCCTGAAAAACAACCCCACACCATAATCCCCCCTCCACCAAACTTTACAGTTGGCACAATGCAGACAAGTAACATTCTCCTGGCAACTGCTAAACCCAGACACATCCTTTGGATTGCCAGACAGAGAAGCGTGATTTCGTCAATCCGACGCTTTGCATTGCACTTGGTGATGTAAGGCTTGGTGCAGCTGCTCAGCCATGAAGAAACATTCCATGAAGCTCTCTACGCACTGTTGTTGTGCTAATCTGAAGGCCACACGAAGCTTGGAGGTCTTTAGCAATTGACTCTGCAGACAGTTGGTGACTTCTGCGCACTGTGCGCTTCACCATGTGCTGACCCCGCTCTGTCATTTTACATGGCCTACCACTTTGTGGCTGAGTTGCTGTTGTTCCACTTTGTTATAATACCACTAACAGTTGACTGTGGTATATTTAGTAGCAAGGAAATTTCATGGATGAACTTATTGGCAACCTATCACGGTACCACCCTTGAATTCACTGAGCTACTGAGAGCGACCCATTCTTTCACAAATGTTTGTAGAAGCAGTCTGCATGCCTAGGTGCTTGATTTTATACACCTGTGGCCATGGAGGTGATTGGAACACCTGAATCTAATGATTTTGAGGGCTGGCCCAATACTTTTGGCGATATAGTGTATGTTAAATGCACATATAATCTTATGGAATTATCGTAAAGCCCCTTAGTACTTTCCTGTGGTTGGTTAAAAGTGTAATAATTAATGCTGCCATTAGAGGTCCCTATACTTCTGTAGATGGTTGTGGATTACCCTTTTTTAACCACTTGCATACTGGGCACTTATACCCCCTTCTTGCCCAGGCCAATTTTCAGCTTTCAGTGCTGTCGCACTTTGAATGACAATCTTGCGGTCATGCAACACTGTACCCATATGACATTTTTATAATTTTTTTTACACAAATAGAGATTTCTTTTGGTGGTATTTAATTGCCTCTGGGTGTTTTATTTTTTGCGTTATAAACAAAAAAAGAGCAAAAAATTTGAAAAAAACAAGTTTTTCTTTGTTTTGATGATAACATTTTGCAAACAGGTAATTTTTCTCCTTCACTGATGTGTGTTGATGAGGCTGCACTGATAGGCAGCACTGATGGGCACTGATGAGGTGGCATGGATAGGCAGCACTGATGGGCACTGATAGGCTGCACTGATGAGGCGGCACTGGTGGGCATTGATGAGGAGGCATGGATGATGCTGCACTGATAGGCGGCACTGATGAGGCAGCACTGGTGGGCATTAATGAGGAGGCACGGATGCTGCTGCACTGATAGGTGGCACTGATGGGCACTGATAGGTGGCACTGATGGGCGACACTGACGGACGGCACTGACTGACAGCCCTGACTGGCAGCACTGACTGATGGCACTGACTGGAGGCACTGCTGGGTACTGATAGGTGGCACTGATGGGCGGCACTGCTGGGCACTGATGGGAGACACTGGGTGGGGGGCACTGATGGGAGGCAAAGCTGGGCACTGGTGGGTGGCACTGCTGGACACTGATGGATGGCACTGGTGTGCGGCACTGCAGTGCACTGATCATCAGGGCATTAATCACCAGTGCCTGATGATCAGTGCCGATCTCCTCTGTGACAGCTGCCGGTTGTTGGCAGTACTTTCCTCACGCTGTGACAACATGAGGAAAGTGCTGCTGATAACCGGCAACTGTATTTACTCCGTGATCTGCTGTGTCATTAGACACAGCAGATCACGTGGTAAAAGGCCGCTGTGATTGTCCTTTTACCTCATCACATGATCAGCTGTGTCCGTTGGACACAAAGATTATGGAGATCGCCGGGTGCACGCCCGTGGGGGCAGGCAGGAGGGCGCGTTCTGGGAGGACGTCATATGATGCCCTCCCAGAACTGGGTAACCGCGCTGTAGCCGTCATTTGGCTATAGCACGATTACCAAGTGGTTAAGCTATATAGTCCAGGGGGTATAAATAATAAGGTGGCCCTTGGAGGAGCCCTGAGGGTAGTTGCTGCTGATGGGAAAATGAAGGCACCTGAGACTGCATGTGAGGCGCGACCGAGGTGCAACCATAGCTTGCAGTTAGCCCTTTCGAGTGGAAGCTGGAGTAATCTACTCAGTGGGCACATCCAAGGTAGCTGTAAGTTATTGCTACTAAAGGGAATTTCTCATGCTGCTAACATTAGTAAATAGATAGGCTGGTATACAGTATTACATTTAATTGTTCAAGTCTTTTGTTTTTACTTTTCTTCAGTTGCTTCCCTGTTTCTGCCCTAGGTCAAATGATGTCTTTGTGGGCATTTTGTTTCTTTCATCTAGAGGAGCGGGAGGAGGGGCTTTATCAGCTAAATATCAGCTGTCGCCTTCTCTATTCACATTCAGGCGCTCCCTCAAAACCCATCTCTTCAGGGAAGCCTACCCCACCCTCACCTAACGGCCATCCTCCCTCATTCCTCCTACCACTTCATCCCCCCAGCCACTTCCTACTGTACCTTTACCCCCTCCCTCCTAGATTGTAAGCTCGTAAGAGTAGGGCCCTCTTACCCCTCGTACGCTGTCTGTCTTTGTTGTACTGTGCCATGTATTGTCCCCCCCTATTGTACAGCGCTGAGCAAACCCTTTGGCGCTATATAAACTCGTAGTAGTAATAATAATAATAATAATAAACACCCTCCTGTCTGCATGCCTGAGCTAAGGGCAGATAGATTCCAGGAAGTTAGTGAATCATCTGCTTATACTTAAAATGGTCATGGCTAGAAATGCTAGGGGGTGTTTTTCAAAGTGATTTCTCAGCAAAATAAAGCATGGAGACATTAATGGATGGGTGAGTCTACTTTGAATTTGAAAAAATAATAATTAGCTTTTTCAGTTTGATGTGTTCAGATGTAGGTTAGCTTTGCTTTAAGTGGGAGAGGAATCTGGATTTAGATAGCCATATACCAGAGAACCATGATATTTATGGACTGTAATCAAGTTTCTGCACAGTAAAGAAGAGTTAAAGGAGGATGTGGGCTAAGATGTTTAGTTCCGATGGAACTAAGGGTAAGTCTACACCTGTGGGACAAAGCTAGAGACTAGCTCAGTCAGGAACAGGTGGTAGCTTGGTGAAGATGGTGGAGTTGAATAGGCTTTGGTGAGATGGGTTTCCCCGTGAGACCACGTGCCTCATATCCCATGAGGCTGTGAGTTTTGGTTTTGGGTATATGGCACATTCAATGGGCCAGGCCTGTAACCAGAGCCCCGTGCAAGCAAGCGTGTGAATGTTGCCTACATTGGCCATCATGCCATGAAGTTTGGAGCTAGAGCATTGTAACTGGGTTCTCAGGAACCACCACTGCTGATACTATTCACTGTAGGACCCAGGCTAGCACTGGCTAAGCAACCTGCCTCTAGAGGGTGCTATATGATTGCTATTGAAATGAAAGATCTGACAACAGATTCTCCTGTGTGGTCATACAGAGTTACTTTTTGACAGGCATTTACAAAACAGTTGTGTCAATCTTAGTCAGGTCATACATTTGTTTGATTCCACCATCAACACAGTCAGTGTTGATGGGGGAATGCCTCCTGCAGCGCTTTACATATATGTATTTTTTTTTTTTTTTTTGCAATTTTGTGCAACTGCACCAATTTATGATAGCAAACACATGGAAGTTCTTGGGACATTCTGTATAAAATTGTATTGTGAGATTATAAAGCTAAAGAGGACAACTACAGCAAAGAAAACATCATAAGTGACAGAAGGGCTCCTTCAGACTTACTGTGAAAGATAAAAGAATAAAAAAAATGTAAAAAAAAGCACGATAATAAAAATTAATTTCTCCCTGATTGTAGTGTATTGAAATTTGATTCGTTTTTGTACGTTATCACACTTTGCAAATCTTCATTACTCCTTGCTCTACTGTACTGAATACACCTGATGGTGAAGCAGTAACAGAAAAGTGGTTTGATACTGCATAGGCAGGAGTGTATTCTGGCCTTAGGCACAATTCTCCTTCGATTAAAAGCTTGACACTTACATGTCCTTATGCTAGTAAATAACTATCTGTATGAATGAAGAGATGAGGTTGTTGCTGATATGAATGATTTTGGTGCAAACATTGTGCCCTCTGTGTGTAGTGAAAAAGAGACATATGGGAAAACTGGTGTCACACGAAGAAAACATACAGTGGGTTAGAAATATCTATGTAATTGCCAGCTATTGTTTGTTGATTTATGGTAATATGGTGCCCCAGGTCATAGTCTATTGGGACAATGTATGACATTAAATGAACTAGTGTGCATTTAGTAACCTGGAGAAAAAGTATCTTTCAAGGGTCTGATTGTCCTTAAATTGCTCACATTAGGAACTCTTACATATGGGCAGCTTTACAGAGCCCACGTCTGTAAGGACTGTACAAACCTGGTTTACTCACTACATACTATAACTACTTAAATATGTAATTGTCAACACTGGCCTAAACAGTTATCAAAAGGCATCAATACAATTTTTTAAAGCAGTCATAATCAACATGCTACTGGAAGATAAAATGTTGAACCATCTTGTCAGTTACACCAGGGTGTAAAAAGGTTAATGAAAACATACAGAAGGGAGTAAGCCATCGAAAAGCATAAAACATACATTACATACATGCACAGGATCATTTTACATGGATTACTGATTACATAGGATACAAAGAGTTTGAAATTCTAAGGTGTAAACAAGCTCAGGTTGTAGTAAGTACAACGCCATTCACTATTTATCTACAGTCAACACAACTGCACCTTCCTATTAAATCATTGAAGTGTGATACCATCTCTGTAGACTGAACCTTTACACCGGAGGCACAAGTAAAACCCTCATAGAGTGGCACCTGTAAAATAGTCTTGGCTATATCAGGATGCACAAATGTCTTAAGCTGCAGCCTGACACAAGAAAGGTCATGAATGAATCTTAGGGTCATTGGTAGCTTTGGGTTCTAATACAGTCTATACAAGCCGGAGCTTATTACACATCCAGACAGACACTAATGACCAGAGCAGCCACAGACCTTCACATCACATTGATTCTCTAGAAAACGAATGACATAGACATGTTGCTATATGAACAGAAGCAAACATTCCTGCACTGCATTAAACTGCATTATCACATTCATTTCTCACTGAGCATTCACATGCATTGTAAAACAGGGAATGGCATAAACTAGCAAACTGATGTATTTTATAGCAGTCTATAGAGCACTCACCCCCAAATTCCTGCACCTTGCTTCCCCTCAGCCAGACAATCTCCCTCTCAGTAATACTATCTTTCCTTTCTTATAACCCATGCATTATTCATGCCAACTGCATCCCTGCACTGAGTTTAGTCAAATTTCTTATCCAATTCTTCAGTCTCTAGCCTGGCAGCTGCACACTTGCAACTTTCTGCATCTCATCACACGTCCTGTGGAGACATAGCGGCAGTTTGTAGCTAGCCAGTAGCAGCGTACATCACATCCCCAAGACTGTCTCCCTCTGCACTCATCAATTATGCATTCATTTCACCCTGTGCAAGATGTGCCCTGGGTGCAGACTCCTCTATGGCACATCCCAATTGTCCATACCCGAAAGGATACAACTAAATGCAGAAAGTCACAATAATTTGTTGCAAGCACTGATTTGATCATCAAAAACTGCTAAACTCCCTAGGCCATGGGCAGCCCAAAAAAGAAAAGGCTGAATCAGTTTGGCTTCAGTTAACCCCTACTATGGCAACACAGCCTCGTCATTGACTTACCCATGCTGCAAACTGGAAACCAAGCCACATAGGGTTAATTCTCTGGCATCGCAGGGTAGACACACAATTCTCCAACACATGGGATGGTAATTTTATACTAATGTCTCCTTTTGGTGTCTCATTCTGGGTGCAGGGTGGCGAAGAGATCAGAGGAGAAGTTTCTGTGGCATTCGCCGCACTGCTGCAGCCGAGGAGCCCACCCTGGTCTTGTAGATTGGTCAATGCTGCAATGTCTCCTCTCTCCCCAGCCCTCCCTCCCCCCGTTATTCCAACGGGTAACAGTATTGTGGAGAGCCTGGCAGCGGAGCAGACAGAGGAAGGCTGTATCTCATGCAGCTGGCTGGTAAGATAGCAAAGGGTGACTTGGGTGCATACATGCTTTGCTTGCTATGGGTGGGGAGATCTAATGTCAACTCTCCCTGCATTCCTGGATTTTACTATCTACCATAACATATAAGACCTTACACTACTAGGTCTTGTCTTTTGGATATAATACCTGACTGCCAACCTGTCACAGTATATAGACAGGAATATGCACAACAGACACCATCTTATTTTAAAGACAACAAACATATTGTAAATAGTCTAAATCAGTTAAAAATGGGAGGAGAGATGAATCATTGGTACTCTGGATGTAACATCCCTCTCTGATTATTGAACATGATAGAGGTTGTGAAGCTGTGAAATATTTTTTGAATATGAATGATCCATGTCTCAGATAGATGATCAGATACAATTTTACTGTGTAAGAGGTACA